CCAAAGAAAATATGACTCCCTCATGAATGGCATATTTTTGGAGTGGTTTGATAATTCTCTTAATGTGGATAAGAATATATTTAATCAAATTTTTAAAGATCTATTAAGTCAAAAGAAAATGTCCAAGTATACATATAATATTTTGCTAAAGAAATATAGTTGTACTAATGCCAAAAGGGAGAGTAAATGGGAGGAACTCTTTGGCCATCAACCCAAAGAGAAGGATTGGTCGATTATTCATACGAGTAACTTTTGTTGCACAATTGAGACTCAGTTAAGGAGTTTTTATTTCAAAATTTTCCATAATGCTATTGGTTTTAATGCATTTTTGTTCAAGATTGGGAGAAAGGAGTCTGCTAATTGTTATTTTTGTTCAGATTTTCCAGAAACTTTAGATCACTTGTTTTGTGACTGTAGGAGAGTTGTACCACTGTGGGAAAAATTGGTGGATAAGATTAACACTGGCACTGATCACAGTTATAATCTGACTCTGTCAAAATTTAATTTTTTGTTTGGGATACAGTCAAGGGACAAATACGCCTCTTGTATAAATTTTCTCTGTTTATGTTTAAAAATTACATTTACTCATGTAGGTTTCAGGGAAAAGAACTTATTTTCGAAGCATTTGTTTCAAGTTCAAACAAAAAATAGAATATAAAATTTCCCAAAAGAAAAATAAGTTACAAGTCCATTTTAAGAAAAATGGTCTATCAAGTTTAACTTAAATTTAGGAGTAGTCTTGCAAAGCTCTGTTGTCATTAACATCTTCATTGGCTTTTTGAATTGTAAACTTGCCCTCTGGGAAAGTATATGAGTGGTGAGTGTGTGTGTGTGTGTGTGTGTGTGTGCGTGTTTATGGGTGCATGTGCGTGCCAGTGCGTGCCTGGTTTTGTAGTTTTAAGATGATATTATATTTTATATTGCTGCTTTTACTCTGTTAATTTTTCAGAAAAAAACAATAAAAACAGAAAAAAAAAAAAAAAAAAAAAAATTTTAGAGAGAAAGTAGAAGTCTCATTGGCGCATTTCTACTCGTTATATATTTTATAGTCGCTCGGCCCTCTTTTTCCCCATGCTCTTCTTTCTTTCCCTTTTCTTTTTATCACTTGAAAAAATCATAGGGAGGGGCGCGTCGCCCCCTGCCCCCTGTAGCACCGCCATTGGTTGCAATGTAATATGAGCCGCTTGAGGTCATGTTAAGTTGGGAAAAAGGTGTTGTGTATTGAAAAGGTATAATGAAAAATTAAAATTTGTGGAAAAAAAAATGCTCTAGCTTTAAATGTACAAACCGTCTAAACTTATCTTTTGTGTTTCAGTTTACCACACGGTTTTACTCAGAAAACCTGCCACTTCCCCATCTAATCTTCTAATAAGTGCCCTTTTCCATTTTGATAAGTTGCCCCCCCCCCCCCCATTTTTTTTTCATCACCTCTGATGAATTCCCTTTTTATTATGACACGTGCCCCCTTTCCTTTCTAAAAGTGCGTTTTTTTCCTTTGTAATAATTGCCCCCTTCCCTTTCTAAAAAGTGCCCTTTTCCCTTCTCATAAATGCCCCGTTTTAGGTACGAGAAGTACCCCTTACCACTAAAAGTTCCCCCTTTATCTCTAAAGAGCGCTCCTATGCAAATATGAGAGGTACACGTATTATTCCCGCCCCCACCCCCCCCCCCCCACTCAGTGTTATTTAGGGTATGCATCTGCATGTTCCCTCCTCCTTGGAAAACGACCCCCCCCCCCCCCCAAGTCCGGTGTGTAAAACGGGCTTTTGTGTACTACGAGCCGGACTTTGGTGCGTGAAAAGTACCCCTTTACCGGACATTTTGGTAACACGCATGGTTATCCTCCGATCACGGAGTGGGGGGCCGGGGGGGGGGGGTTATTATGACACGTGTCCCCTTTACTTTCTACTTAGTACTATATTTCCTTTGGATAGGTTTTCCTTTTTTATTTTATATGAGCCCCTTTTTACATCTGATAGGTGCTCTTTTCCTTCAACAGATGCCCCATTTTCATAAGTACCTTCTTTTATCTTTGTCGAGTGTCCCTTTACTATTATACGTCCATCTTTTTTCTTCTTCTAATAACTGGTAATAACTGGGAATTTGTGGACTTTTGTCCCCTTACATGGACATGCCAACATTGTTCAGATGAGAGAAAATGGTGCTAAGGTACTGACTTCAATGCTAGATGTACAGTTCAAGAGATATCTGAAAGTTTGAGTGAAAACAAACCATTATTAATGATAAAAATTGGTAAAAGCTGATCTGATCGATTCCTTATTCTCCCAACTACATTATTACAATACATTTTAGGTGAATGTAAATCGTTACAAAGCAATGAATTAGCTCTATTTAAGTGTGGAAAGATTTTTAAAAGCCCGTTTTAATAGGTCTTATTTTCATCGAAAAAACGCGTGAAAAAGTTCAAAAATTGGTGGAAGACTTTACTGTTAGAGGGCAGGGGTGATAGTGAGAGCACTAAAAAAAAAATTAGGTTTTTTCGTTTTCCCCTCAACCACGCCCCCCCCCCCCCCCCCCCCCCCTTGAGTAAAAAAAAAAAAAAGAGGATTCGCGGTGTAAAAAATGGTATTTAACAACATTCCCCCTTTCGAGTAAGAAAAATTGGGGAAAAATAGGGCAAAATAGGGCAAAATAGGGAAGAATAGAGAAAATAGGGAGAAATCGGGGAAAATCAGTTAAAAATGGGAAGAAAAAAAATCTGGGTTGGAAAAAAAGTAAAAATTAAAAAAAAAAAAAAAAAATCTGGATTTTTTTTTTTTTTTTAAATCGGGAAGAGAAAAAAAAAATCGGGGAAAAATAAAAAAAAATCAAGGGAAAAACCGATTTTTAAATCGGGTTTTTATCAGGCCTGGAGGGTGTCGCAAAGTGTCGCCTTAAAAGAAAAACATACATTTCTTTGTGGTTTGAGAATTCAGGATTGTTTGCATGTGAGAGCCTTAGTTCACTAAAAGGAATATAATACGTAACATTTCATACAAACATTACGCATTTTTTTACATCAACCTTCAACAATGTTACCGAGTCACTGTAACAATATCAAACGATATAAACTTTCTTTTAAATGTACAGTAGTATAAGGCCTAGTATCGATTGTGATTCGGATTCGTAAATGACAATAAGAAAAAACGTAACAGATAATTAATTATGTTAATGGTAAGTTCGTTGCAGTAGAATAATAAATTCAGCTGCAGATACAGGCAAAATTGCTGAATTTTTAAAATTTTACTGCAACGAACTTACCATTAACATAATTAATATAATCTGTTACGTCTTTTCAGGTCGAACGGAGGAAAAGATAGACACAAAAAAATAACTGCTATGAGAGGGATAGTTGTTTTTATAGGCTCAATGGGACGTTACATCATGTAATGTTCCCGAGAGGGAAAAAGTAAGTCAAGGTTAAATTTATTTTTTTAGAAACAATGTACAGGACTATATTACAATGAAAATGGCAAACATTATACAAAACACATTACAATAAAACATGAAATATGAACACATTTTTTGTTACATATTATTAAGGCATAGCGATTTGGCTAGTTATAAACCATTGAATTTTATGATAGGTTTGAAATTGCGATGAGAAATTGTAAAATAAATAAGTAAAACAGAATGAGGAAAGAAGATGATAACAAGATTTCCTGGGCCTCGATTTAGTACAATGAAACATGTATACGTGACAAATATATTGAAAAAAAGTCGTAAATGATAATAAGTCTTCCTGGGTTCGATTTGTTACAATGAAATTTGTATACCTGGTATAAAGGTAATGTATATAAGGATAGCTTCCGTTTAAGTACTTACAAATATATTGAAAAAAGGATCATGAAATTATTAAAGCATCATTTGAAACCAATTACTAAGAAGAATATATCCTGTAAAAATAGAGAAGCTGAAAAGGGAAAACAATGAATAAGACGTAATAATGTTTAGAGAGGAAGGAGGCAAAATTACAGAACAGAATTAGAGCAAGAAGAAGGATTTGGTAATTATGGTGTAGAACAAAAAGGAGAAGAGAGGAAGGAAAAGAAGGGAAGGTTTAAATTAATGAAGAATAGATAGAGACGAAAGAAATTTGGGAAGGAGAGAGTCTTTGTGATAGAAAATGATGGGGAGAACACTCTTTATATACAAGTCATGAATCTAGGAGAGTCATATCAGTCCACTGCGGTTATGTCCTTGAATTGTCTATGACATAAGATCCTACAAGAGCTAATTTGCATATCATGAATTTACACAAGATTATGTCATTGTTGTAACTTCCGGAGCCTATGACCTACAAGCATTGCTTTCTCGTTAGGCTCCATCATATTTTTTTCCTTTATACAACTTAGTCTTATGTATTATTCTTTTTGTTTGTATAAAAGCATCCTAAATGGAGTACAAAATGTAACATGCTAAATGTAATGATGTATATACAACATGTGAAATATGAAAATAAACTGAAACTGAAACATTCTTACATACTCTGGTATTCACATGAATAAAGATTTCTGGATCTGTTCTTTTTTCTTTTGTTTTCCTTTGTTACATAACCTGGTGTGATTTACTGTTGCTGGACTTGATATCTTCTTTCAGCAATTGTTGATAACGTTCTAATATTCTCTCTTTGGCTTTCAAAACATTTGGCTCGGTGGGGACAGTGAGCTCTATAAAAATTGCCTTGGTTGTACCCCCTTTCTCGAAATGTATCATTATGTCCGGTTTTCTGTAGTGGGCATAATGTTATATAAGGTATAATCGATACACCATTTATTCTAAAAACGGGAAAGTCTGCCAAGATGGTTACATGAATATCATTTTTTCCCCTGCATTTCTTTTCAACTCATTTACAATAAAACACAACACGCTTAGTATCTGTAAGTTAATCTACCTTGTTGTAATGCCACTGAACAATTAAGTGTTCAGGATATGTACAAGGGTACCTTTGGTACATTGTAATGCTCTACATGATGGTCACACTCGTGTTAGCTCTGTCACTAGAAAAAAGCATTTACGGCATGGACCTCAATATCATAGACCCCTTCTGCATCGAATTCGTACTCTATAGTGGGGTCGGTGGAGTTAAAGAGATGTCCCCCTACATTCCATTCACACAGCTCTATGGTCCCCTTCAGAGGTTGAGCAGTCAATATCACAGGAAATTCCATTGGCAGGGTGGTAGTCCAAGTCCCATCCTCGCCTTAATATGAGAAGAAGAAAAAATCAGGTATTGTATTACACAATCAAGTGTTAATAGTTTTATACCTGAATAAAAGTTCAGGTAATAATTTGTATTTTTGCGATGTTCGGAATGTGTACATGTAGCTTGCATTGTTACACAAGCTGACAATATTATGCTCTTTCAGCAATCATGCAGAATAGTTATGGACTACTATTAGTCCACTTGGCTCAGTATAACCATAGTTCATATTTTCCCAGTTACAATTTTTTTAAATAAATATATATGAAATCTTTTAGACAGTAAGAGTTGGGCTTAGGGTCAGGGTAAGTACAGAGCCAAGAGGAGTAAACTGAAAGGAACCTAAATTTAATTCAAGTTCCTTACGGTACTTATCTGCCAATCTTTCTTCACTTTAGGTGATATAACTGTATGTGTACGATTTCATTTCAATATATCTGTTTTGACATTTTTGGACAAGATCTACTTGATGAAACACATGTCCTTTCATGTACAATGCTATAATTGTTGTATAACTTTTATAAGAATTGTTATGTCTTACCTGAGAAGCTATCTATTGTGAGATCTTCAATATCTTCCAACACAGCAATATACAATTCGCGATAAGCACTGCTCACATGATTGTAGAGAAAGAGCTGGACTGTGTATAAATCTGGGACGGCATATGTGTGGTTAAAAGTCAAATTTCTGTAGTCTTGCTCATATGGAATGGGTTCCCACGATTCTGATAAATTGAAGACAAAAATGTGAATTGTGCAATTCAGGCTAGTTTTAATAATGAGTTAACAAAAATAAAAGTATTCATAACACACAAATTAACAACTTTAGAAATCATAACATTTATCAATGGGCATTTTACGGTGTTGGCCAAAATATACAGTCATTCTAATGTAATGTAAGTACATGTATTACACATTTGGCTTTCCATCTTATTTATAGCATTACTGTAAATTGGAGGGACCATATAAGACATAAACATTAATACAGGGATCTCATGCAAATTTCAGATTGGGAGAATGTCATCTCCATTTGACTGCTGGAGGAGCAAAACTGAAAAGTGAATTTAATTTAAAAACTACTTTTATGGTACTCATACTCTTCAAGAGGTATAAGCCCCAAACTTTATTCAGCAAATACAAGGGCTAACTCCCCAAGACCACAGAGAATTGAACAGTTGGGGGGGGGGGGGGGGGGGGATTGGGGGTGCAAGTGTGCTCGACCTGCTAATACAATATGTCAATTAGATATTAAATGCTGAAAAAGGTCACCAACCTATAGTTCCATCTCCATAATCTATGTCACCGTGAATGTCAGTGGGTATTCCATCACTTGTATAGTTAACATACATCTGAAGTGTATCCTCCAGGGGATAGTGAAGTGGTGCATTGAGGAATATATCCAGCGTAGTGATAGGGTTTTCAACAATGATGGTGGTATACTCTGAAGCCTCGTTAATCTCATGGTACATAGTTGCTCTCAGAGTATAGTTTCCTGTGTTCCAAATAAGTTACAAACAAGATTTGTATTAATTACTTTTCATCATTTATTTCCATACTCTAAAAACTTTCTAGTTATGAAAATCATACCGGTAAGCTTTTACAAATTGGAAAATACATTTTTTTGCTCTATAGTTTCCTGTGTTCCAAATAAGTTACAAACAAGATTTGTATTAATTACTTTTCATCATTTATTTGCATACTCTAAAAACTTTCTAATTATGAAAATCATACCGGTAAGCTTTTACAAATTGGAAAATACATTTTTTTGCTCTATATAGTTTCCTGTGTTCCAAATAAGTTACAAACAAGATTTTTATTAATTACTTTTCATCACTTATTTCCATACTCTAAAAACTTTCTAATTATGAAAATCATACCGGTAAGCTTTTACAAATTAGAAAATACATTTTTTAATGTTCTTATACAATTACCATGGTATACAATGAATAAAAGAAAACATAAAACACACAAAGAAGCAAGTAAAATGTACCATGTAACTTTTCTTATAGGAATTGCACAGAATAAAAATAAAAGATAGGATGTCTTCTTTACCTGGCTTCGAAATAAACAACCACACTTCATCCACTTCATCTGGTCTTCTAGCTTGGCGGTAGGAATCAAAGTAGAATTCTAGTTCAAACGTATCTTCATTATAGGCACTCCATTCAATGAGAGCAGGCCAACCAGACTCCGCAGCAAGAGAGCCAATGAAAGGATGGTTGGTCTGAACAAAATACTCACTGACATAAAACACCATTCCTGTAATCTGGTGAACAAAATGAACAAAACACAATTAACATATAACATCCAACAGACCAATTCATACATTTCCCTTTTCATCTCTTAAAAAGAAATCTATTAGCTTTTATTTCCTGTAATAAGTCTCCAAGCACTATACAAAACAAGTTTGCTTGCACTACCAAAATGATCAAATTCATGAATAAGTGACCAACAACTTCTTACAAAGAAATAAAGTATAAATAACATACTATACTGAGATAATCATGGTCTGTGAAATTACATAAAGTTCATTGGCATTATGTGCTAATTGATTCTTTTAAACATATGCATCTTATTCTTGTTGAATAATTTGATTACCGGTACATGTACTACAGTGAGAAAAAAACTAGATAGAACGCAGTCGAAAATGATGCCTCCGTCATAGTAAATTTTACAAACCAAAACAGAAGAAATTTTTCAAATTCAAGTTCAATTGTAATCCATTAACAGGTTCTCAGAATATAGTGATAACAAGCAATTTCTCATATGACCCTTTGATCTTTGACCTCATGACCCTAAAATCTACTCAGTTCATTGGCTCTGCAGTTAACTTGTCCTGAGTTAAATAGTAATCTACCATTCAGTTCTAATGAGAATGCGTTCACAAGCTATTTTTGCATACATAATGAGCCCATGACTTTGACCTTGACCTCATGACCCCAAAATCTAATCAGTTCATCGGCTCTGCAAGATACATACATGACCAAAGTTTGGCAGGAATCCATCCATCTGTTCTAATGATAATGCGATCACAAGCTATTTTTGCATACATGAGCCGCATGACCTTTGACCTTGACATCATGACCCAAAATCTATTCAGTTCATCAACTCTGCAAGATACATACATGACCAAAGTTTGGCAGGAATCCATCAATCTGTTCTAATGATAACGCGATCACGAGCTGTTATTGCATACAATTACATAATGAGCCCTGTGACCTTTGACATTTTACCTCGTGACCCCAAAATCTACTCAGTTCATCGGCTTTGTCAGATACATACAAGACCAAAGTTTGGCAGGAATCCATCAATCGGTTCTTCAGATAACGTGATCACAAGAACGGGACGTACGGACGGACGGACGGACAACCCGAAAACATAATGCCTCCGCCTACTTTGTAACGAAGGCATAAAAAGCCCAAGACATGATAACTTTCATTCAAACTGTTGTAAAAAAATAGAAAAATTCTTTTCTTCTCCAGAAACGAATCAAGACATAATCTTTTAATTGATAGTCGTAATTGGATAAAGATCAACAACAAAATCTATGTGTATACACTTTTTCCAATATAACTTCTTCATAAAACTTTTGATTGGTACTAGAAAATCAAAGACATATTTTTAAGTTTTCCATCTCGCACTTATCATTCTGATGAGTGTAAGATGAATAGCCTGAATGAAAGTTTTCTTTTTAAAAATGGCAAAAGTTTGAATGAAAATGAAATATAGTGTACTTCCTCTGCTTTCTTTCTTTTTTTAAAAACAATATTGGACAAAACAATATTGGACAAGTCCTAGCGAAAGCAATATATTCATGTTTGACACGAAAACATAGCCATACGATATTATCATTATTATCTACATGTATATTTAATAGTCTGACTAGCGAAATATTTTTTTAATACTAAATATGGCTTTGTTTTCATGTGATATCGCCATTATATCGATATCGATAATTGAAGTTCCTGGATGACTGAGAATATGAAAACAATACTGGATCGACATCTCATCAGGGTTGCGCTAGAGATATTGAATACACTACTTATTGTACCACTTGGAACCCTTATATAGATAATAATGAATTATACTTACTAGCTCCACAAACTTGATTTGTGACTCACAATACACTGCTGTATTGTTAATCTCACTGTAAACAGTCACAGACACATTGTGTGATCCTAATCCAACGATGTTTTGAAGTTCCATGGGAAATGGTAAAGTGTCCAAGAGCACCGCATACAGGTCATCATTTTGCAGTGCACCATGGGAGAATACCTCATCAAAGACCGGGTAACCATCAAGTTCCATATAATAATACAATGGATCTGGAAACTCATGGTGATTGAAGATCAAAAGATCTGACTCTCCAAGGATGTAAATGTCATAGTTATAGGTCAGATTTACACTTCTGTAGGAACATATTTCATAATATATCTCAGAATAGACCAAAACTTCTGAGAAGTGGGCTTCCGGTTGGCCTGCCATACAACAGTTTGTGAAAATGTTGTATGCAGCTGGTTGTGTATATTTGTGCGTTAGCTGTTCCTGAAGATCAGTGGCATTTGTAGTGTAGGTAATGTTGTCATTGAAGTCCCAGTAGCACTCAAAGAACAATGTAAAGTCTGTCCAGAATGCGATTTCGAATGTTTGATTCACTTCCACTAGAGAGGGGGTGCTCACTGTAAACAAATCTGAGGTGGAGAAAAACACATGGAGAAAATGTCATAAAATCATGGAGCTACAATCGAATACCATTTGGATCTACAAACCTTATTTTCTACAACTTAGAGAAAAAACAAAAACAAAAATAAACACTCTAAAAGATACAAAAAA